ATATATATACATAATATACTGTATGTGTGTATATATATATATATATATATATATATATATATATATATATATATATACATATAGTATGTACTGTATATGTAAACAAACCTTTATTTTAGATGCAATTAATCGTGATTAATTGTTTGACAGCCCTAATTTTTACATTATTGCAAAAAATCTATTTCAAATAAATGCTGTTTCTTTCTATTGAGCAAAGAAACCTGGGGGGAAAAAATCATGGTTTCCACAAAAATATTAAGAACAACTGTTTTCAGTGTTAATAATATTAAGAAGAACTCTTTCTTGAGCACCATTCTTAGAATGTTTTCTGAAGGATCATGTGATTCTGAAGACTTGAGTAATGATGATGAAAATTCATAGGAATAAATTACATTTAAATATATAGAAAATATATAAAACTAAAATAGACATTTCTGTTTTTAATGGATTCTTAAATAAATGCAGCCTTGACGAGCAAAAGAGACTTTTTTTTTTTTTTTTTTTTTAAATTCTAAAATATTACCAACCTCAAACATATGAAGTGTAATGTAGTTGAATTTAATAGCATAGTATAACTGAAATGCCCTGGTTCTATGTTCATGACAGTTGGGAGATAAAGATCGTTCTGCCAACAGCAAGGACATGGCAGATAAAACCTCTTATCATCAGCTATCTTTATTCTCGTGTGGTGTTTTTAAAAAAAATTTTTAATTTTTTTGTGGGACTTTCACAACTGTAATTTAAGGAGAGTTGCATCATCCGCATGAACACTTGCATCTGTCAGCTGCTCAGCTACAGCATTGTTTTTCCAGTGGAACATTCAGGAAACAGAAAATACTTGCAGAGCAGGAAACTGCTTTTCATATTCGAAATGCCAAAGAATACTGGTTGTGCTATCTGAACAAACCCCCTACACTTAAAAGTTAAACTTTGGGACTAAATGTGTTTTGCGCTCTTTGTGCTACGGACGTAATAGATCCCTTAAATTGACAGAATTTAGTTTTTTTGGGGGAACTGTCGGTTTAAGACTTTTGCCTGGCTGTTAAAACAACAGGTGAAAGAATGCATTCGCAACCACCCACAACACCATAGCAACTGCAGAACAATGTGCCGAATAGAATGTAACAGGTGCCTATCCCCCTTTTTCACTTACTCTGGTTCCAGAAGTATTTTTTCCATTAATTTTTCCAGTATGGATTTTTTTTTAAAGTTTTTGTTAAAGCACTATAAGCCATGAACCAGGCCAACCAGTAATGAGGTGTATTACAAACTCTCTATGCTCTTAAAACACACACACACACACACGCATATATATATATATATATATATATATATATATATTATATCAAATATTTAAGTGTTTTAAAAGAGCATGGAGAGACTCAATTACACCATTTGCGGTGCTTCATGGGAGAGGGCGGAGCTCTGGGTTCGTTTGGCACAATTTGCTCACTGCAACTCACTGATTGGTGGAACCCGACAGTCACACTCTATAAACTCAGAAGACATTAGCAAGTCAAGCAACAGCATTTCCAATCAAACAAGTTTAGCTTGTATCTTCATGAGTTAGGAAAGATCAGTATCTATCATGTTTATTGTTTTTTTTTAAAGGTACAGTTCACCAAAAAATTAAATGACTCAATGTCTCAGTGGGGTCTAATGTTGTTCTCTTCCACTTATAATTTGTCTCAACCATTATACGTTTAATCATATGTATTAATTATGGACTGATACGAGCTGCATGTTTTCACAGGGTTTCCTCCAAAGGGATGTCTATATCAAGGCCTGACGGGGTCATTGGAAGATGTAGGATGATCCGCCACGACCGAGACAAACAAAACGACCCCAATCCACAGAGGTACTTGAACATATTACAGCTTTATGGCTGCTTAAAAGTTTAACCACTCTGATAATCTCAATACATTGCCATATTTAAAAGATGAAATTGTGTGGGGATGAAAAAATACATTTGTAACAAACTGTACACTGAACTGAAAGTGATGGATAACCACTGGTGTCAGAGGAATGCCAGATTTGTTTAACGATAAAAAAAATCTAAGTTAGTTTACGATATATACAAGGTTATAAACAGTCCTGCTTTGAGTAATGGTAATTATGTCATTTCCTGTCACAGGTTTGACCGAATAGCCCACACAAGGGAAACAATGGCAAGCGATGGGATCAGTTCATTAACATACAACGTTGTTAACATTGAGAAAGACCAGCTATTCACCAAAATCACAGTGGATGTGGGAAAACCATGATTCCTGCATAGAGACCAACATAAAACTGAGTGAAACCGCAGCGCTGGCTGTTGAAAAACCAAATGTGCCTTGAAATATCAAGTCAAATGGATAATTTACAAAGTGGATTCTATATTTTTCAAAAAGGACTTGTAAGTACTTAGAAATGTTTTGCCATCTTTGCACATGTGATGGTGAATACAGGGGTCTGGACTCCTTTTGCCCAGTGAATCAGAACTGTTTGGCTGCTAAAGGAGACACACAAGGGTTTCAGGTTGTCCTCGAGGCGACGGGCCAACCTTGTTCTGTCTCAGACACTTCTGCTGAGGAAAAAGACTATATTATGAGCCATTCGATGGAAGCAGCATATTAAAAGTGATCTGAATTGTTGATGAAAACGTCCTTGTGGTGGGAAAATGTATGTGAGTTGCTGTGTATGGGATTATTTAGTTTGTGTGTTTGAAAGCGAATATTTAAAGGATCGATTTTGTTAATCAGCAAGCTAAGCAATGCAAAAAATCGGGGCTATTTACCAATCAAGGGCTAATCATATACCAGCAAACTGGCATTTTTGGGCTGTCACATTTTTGTTTACTTTTATTACGTATTGCATCTCATTATCTTGTTGCTGTACGAGGTTATTTGTACTTTCAGAGCCTTTTAAATGATATCTCTCTTTGTTAGGGGCGAGATGTCTGAATGTATTGGCCTGCATGGTTTTTATTCTCAAGTGCTTGATGCGTATCGGACCATTATTATGTTTGCTGGAACGCCAAAGTGGCAGTCTTGCATCTTAAAAGACATTAATTTCCTCCCTTCCGTTTGGTGCATTTATCTTTGCTGTATTTGATTTTTTTTAATTGCAAATCTATCCAGTCAAATGCAGCATTATCAGGTCAAGCTTTTGGATTTGCTCGGTCCTTTATTGCATTGAGAATTTCTCAGATCTATGCTGGTTATTAAGGGCACAAGAATATTCAAGCTCTCTACTGTAATGAAAACATGAAGCCATTGAGAACTTTGCTGAATTGACCTGTTGATACTTGTTTGTTTTTTTTGTGCTGGTCTCCTCTTAAATTCTTTTGAACAAAGAAAACAGGATTTTTTATTTTAAAACCTGTCATTGTGGAAACCAAAAATGCCTTTCAACTCTGTCAGGGGACGAAATGCAGACGAAGCAAATGAATGTATGTCAGCTGTTTTGCTCAAGTGCTTTTCAAGATGGCGACTAACAGCCCGTACACAATGTACAGAATGTTTAAGTTATGCAGCCAAATTTTTTTCCTCTGTGCCGAGCACCCCAAAAGACCCATAGAATTTCTTTCCAGCTTAAAACCTCTCCAATGCCTTATAAAAAGTCATTTGCATCAGGAAAGAAAACTACCTCTCCTCATGGCACAGCACTCGCAAGCAGAAGGGATAAGCGGCTAATGCTGTCTCTCAAACCAAATGTTTTGGCAAATAATCTTAGCCTTTTTTCCTCTTAGGTCAGTTAAAGCGAGGTTAAAATCTATTTAGACAATGGTCTTTGTTTGAGAGCCAGCAAATAATTCAATTTATTTTTAAGTTTTCATTTTCTTTTTTTAATTCTTTGTTTGATTTCTCTGTTGTTTTCAACACAACTTCTTTGTTTCCTATTTTTGATGTTCCTCTTACTTAAGTGTAATGCAGTGAACAATTAACACAATTTTGGAATTCTGGAAATTAAATAATTAAATTGTTTGATTTAACTCGGCTTTTGGGTCGTGACTTGAAATAAAAGACAGTAACATGACGTGTTTGGCCAGAGGCAGACATCATTGCCTTTTCAGCAGAATATAGCTTATAGGCTATTTTCCATACACACAAACCAGTAAATCTTACCTAACCACCTATGTGATCTTACCTCAGAGCTAATGTTTTTGTCTCTATAGTTATATATTATAAAAGGATGACTGGAAGGATAGATAGACTTTGTCTTATGTTTAAAATAAAAATGTTTATGATTTCATCTCTGAATCAGATAGCCCACCGAATTGCTGTGTATTGACATATTGTTTATAACTGACATTGAAGCATTGCCAGAAAAAAAACATTATCAGGAAGTCAAGATAAACAATAGGCCATGCTTTGGTTTTCTCATGGCGGTATGTGAAGTTGAGCTATTACCAATGAGAATGTCATTAGCTGCCACCGTATTTGAAGGGGTCATATAATGCGATTTCAATTTGTCCTTTCTCTTTGGAGTGTTACAAGCTCTTGGTGCATAAAGATTTGTAAAGTTGCAAAGACTAAAGTCTCAAATCCAAAGATATATTCTTTATAAAAGTTAAGAGTCAACTACGCCTACCTAAAATTGCTCATTCTAACACGCCCCCACATGTCTACGTCACGATGTGGGAAGATTTGCATAACGCCGCCCAAATGTTCACGCAAAGAAAGAAGGCGTAACTTTTATTCTCGCTGTAGTATTGTTGTTGCCGCCGCCGCCATGTCGTGAAGGCGCTGTGTGTTTCGTTGTGAAAGTGAAACTACTTTGTTTGGCCTTCCAAAAGAGGACGATATCTGCTTCGTCATGCCTGGAGCTGATCCGTGCTGGTCGCTGAGGGAATACATCAACTTCACACTGTGGATTGACGGATCAGCTTTCACCGTGGACGAAGCGGAGTCCAGCCCGGAGTCGTCACGTGGTTGCCGCAAGCCCGCACACCGCCGCTAAATCTAGCCTGCCGTGTGTGATGCTGTGTTTCATTTTTGCCACTGACGATTCATTAGCGAGTTTTGAGCAGTGTAGAGCAGCGTTTGTTGTTTGTCATTTCTCCCATCACAAATGCAGACATGGTTCTATGTTTACGCGCCGTGATGCAATGCAACGTGTAAAAAGACAGTATAAGTCATTATAATCCGTAATTATGTCCCCACTGGATGCAACAAATGCCTCGTTTATAATGGGTTTTAATGTTTTTGTCTCGTCGCTCCGGCCGGGACAAGGCATCACAATATGGTAGGGGCATAACATTTCCGTCACACGCTTGAGGTATTCGGCCAATCACAAAGCACTGGATAGCTGGCCAATCAGAGCACACCTCGCTTTTCAGACCGATGAGCTTTGTAAAAATCTACGCGTTTCAGAAAGGCGGGGCATAGAGCAGTGTTTCCCAACCTTTCTTTAGTCGCGGCACCCTTTGGAAATTTTAACAAATTTGTGGCAGCCTACAAAATTAATTTTGTCACAATATTTGAATTTCTAACTTCAATATGATACTTTGAAAACTATAGATATTCGGTACAACAGGGAAGAACTGAAGAATATACTGTCATACAGATATTTTTAATATTAAAATCTATCAATGGTGGCAATCAGTAGGCTAATTTCTAATGAAAAGACCAATTTATATGACAGATTTGAATGTAGGCTTTTATTCATATGTAAACATTGTGAGATAGATAGTTATAATGGTAATTAAACAAAGCTTTGCTCACTCAGTGTATTTTTGATTTTACAGTTGGGTAATTTTGTTGCAGTAGCACGAGATGGCTTGATTTAAAACTTTGACTTAATAATAAAATAAGAACAAATAAAGAAATTACTAATGATAGCACAAATAAAAAATAACGATAGGCCTACAAATGAAATAAATTGCTTTTTAGTTTTTCAGGTAGGTCTAACATCAATGAATGAGAGGGCAGCGTTACCAGAGTTGCCCATTTACCACACTTTGTTACAGCACAGTAGGGCTATTGCAGACAGAAACAATGCTGTACTACATCGATGTTTCCTTTCAGCTTGATTTTTGAGTGGACTTTGCTGTTCCGATGAGCATGAACGGTATGTGGAGCACTCACATGGGCCGTGAGCGAAGCACACACGCATAGAGCGGGATAATACGCAGAGCGTCACACCACGTGAAAGTGAATCCTGAGCGGTGAACTAATTTTCGGCAGCCGAAATTTCAGTGCATCTCTAATTATTGGCGACATCAGAAATGGATATTATATAATAGCTTCTTTTTTTTACATTTTAGCAATTTAAAAATATTAAAAAAGGATTTTTTTACATGGCAACCCTGCTCTCGACAGGCGGCACCCCGGTTGGGAAACACTGGCATAGAGGAGAAACAATAATGTACAGTATGTGGAAAATAATGTATTTTTTGAACCTTAAACCATTACACCAAATACACAAAATAATGTGCTTTTTAGCAACATCATATGCGTTACGGAGCTGACGAGACGTGAGACATGCGGATCCATATGCAAGCTTTATTAAACAGAAGACAGAGACGTGGTCATGAAACAGGCATGGGTCAGATAAAGGCAGACAGGTATATGGTGGGCAAAACACAAGAATAATCCTAGGGCTAGCGTGGGTCGACGATTGGCAGACAGAGTCACAGGGGCAAGGCTAAAGGGAGAAATCCAGGAAAACATGCGAAGATCAAAACCGGGGAAAAAGGCTAAGGCTAAGGCAAGGAAAATCACTAGGGCTCCGTAATGTAGCTATCTGGGGAAAGATAAGCGCTAGACAATACTCGGCAGAGAGAAGGGATCAGAGTGAGTGTTAAATAGTGAGGGAGTGATATGAAACAGCTGGGTGCAATCAGTGTACAGCTGTGTGCAATCCGTGCTGAGTGCAATCAGTGCAATGCATGATGGGAAATGTAGTCCGAGAGTCAATGCAATAGGAAAGGGTGACCTCTGATGGCTAGCAGATGAAAGTTCATGGACCGGATTCGTGACAATATGACCCCTTTAATGTTCAGTTCAGTGTTTTTTGGGTGGAGTGTATCCATGGGATTCCACTGCTGTTTGCATGATGTACAACACTATAGACACATTTTTGCATGTAGCATGTTTAGGTGTTTGTTACAATAATAGTCTATTATGACAGTGAATTTGAAGTTAAAAGCCATCCCCTGTCATTAGGGTGTTTAATTCCAGGTTGTTCTAGCTAAACGATGATCACAGGTGTAGAACATTTCTGTACAATTCCACATGAAATCCCCAGCTGATCTGGCTAACTATTCAAGGCAAATTAACTGGGGGATTCTTAAGGACTAGAATGAAGTGGGAATTAGAACACTGTTTGCACAAGGTCTGCCCTGCCCTGGAGAGACAAACGTGTTTCCTGGTGAACAAACTGGCCAGAGACTAGTTCACCTCAGTGCACAGAAACCAGCAAGACAAGATTAATGGTCCATGTTTTTAACAGCCTCAGCATGGCCTGCGGCTGACCTGTTGAGAACACATGTGGCTCATATTTCACCCTAAAATCTAAAGAATTAAAAAAAAAAAAAAAAAACCTGTTGCAAAAACACAATTAAGCACATTTTCCCAAAATTTCTATTACTATAATATGAATTCTCATTACTGTTGTGCTGATAAATAAAGATATTTAAACAGAAGTACTTTTTACATGATGGTTTGTTGTACTGCTTTAAATTTAGGTTAATTTAATTTCAAATATATTGTATTTCATTAATGATAATAAAAACGCTGAGAACACATTTAGATTTTGAACATTTGTGGAGAACATTTGTTTAATTATTGTAATATACAATTGTAATATAATATATAATAGTTTAAGTACAGCTAATTGTAAACATTTACAAGAACAATGATTTTTAATGACATTTTACAGTCGCATGGCACTATTACAGCACACTATTAGTGGAATGTTTTCTTTGTAACATTAACAAATAGGCCATTTTATAATGTTTACACATTAAGAGTTCAAATATAGGTGGATGACACTGTTACACATACCAGCTTCATCACTGTGTCTGTCACGCGACTCTGTTCCCCTTTCTGGTTCTGTCTTTACATTTATTTTGAAAGATGAAGCTCGCGATTATGGTAAGGGGCATTACATTTCTGACGAGTGCTTGCGGTGTTCGGCCAATCACAATGCACTGGGTCAGCTGGCCAATCAGAGCAGACTGCACTTGTCGGAAGGAGGGACTTTGTAGAAAACGAAGCGTTTGAGAGAGGCGGGGCATAGAGGACCTACAATAATGTACAGTATTTGAAAAATAATGTTTTTTGAACATTAAAGCTTGTCAACATATTCTGTTACACCAAATACACAAAATAATGATCTTTAAAAAAGCATCATATGACCCCTTTAATGCTGGAATAAACAGACTATGAGTAGACATTTCTTTTTCCTGTGTGGAAGTGAGGTGACCTTGAACGTCTGCTGCAGGAAACAAAGACCCACCTGGCTGTCATGTCCTAAAATACAGAGGCCCCTGAGATCCACATGTCCTGTCTGAATTCCAGGCAGGCCGAGTCCTGTTTCAAGAAAAAAGAAATGCAACAGGGAAGTTTTAGCAACGATGACTGAGTTGCAGAGCACCAGGAAGGGACACTCTCTGACACCTCTGTCAACATTGAAACCGGCAATCCAGACCAGTGTTTTATGTACATAACACCCTTCCCAACCGCAGGAGATTTTTAAGCATCAAAATAATCACATTGTTATACACAGTCAACAGAAACCCAGTATAATAATAAGGCACAGATTTGCCGCAGGATAATTAACATGAATAGCAAAATGAAAGAACGTTAATGTTGATTCTAAAGGAATAATTCAAACTTGTCTAGTCATTCCAAACCTGTACATTTCTTTCTTCTGTGGAAAAACACTGAAGAGTCTTTGCTGTTCTTCTCTCCCTAATGGCATGAATGGAGCTGTTTTGCAAAAGAACCATAAATGATACACAAAAGTGGTTCATACAACTTCACGTCTTTTGTAGTTATAGGTTTGTGTAAGCATCATGGCAAAATTTACGTCATTATTCACTGATTATTTTCCACGTCGGGAAGACAACCGCTGGAACTGGATCGTTGAATCGGTATGTTGAACTCGAAAACTGTAGGCCTACATTATTTTGGAGAAACGCAATTAAC